CATCAAGGGAAGTTCCAGAAAGAGAATAAATCCTTTATATTTTCACTTACAAGGGTTTATCTCACCTATGCATGAGCTTAATGAAGATTCATGAGTGTTAGGTGTGTGAGAAGGGAAAGTTAAGGATTAAGGCAGGAGGGAGAGAGGAAGAGTTGGAGGGAAAAGCAGGCTTGGGAATATGAAACATATAGAATATGTAGTCCCAGCTCCATCATTTATTAGCTGTGTAGCCTTGGGCAAGATCGTTAGCTTCTCTGTGTCTTTTCTAAAATGGGTGTTATGACTGCACTTACCTCACAGGGTTTTGGAAGGAGTAAATGAGATAATAGAAAAGGATGTAAAACAATAAAAACTAACAGTTGTTAATAAAAATCCATTTTCTGGAATTTAATGCTATGTGGCCTGGGGCTTGTGGCTTAAGCTTTGAGTCTAAGATCCTTTGTCTATAAAGGGGGATGACGATGGCCCTAGGAGGGCCGTTATGAAGTGCCCACGACAGTGCCTGGCACATGGTAGGAATTCAAGAAATCCTAACTAGTGTGGCTTGGCAAACCTTGCGTCATGTTTAAAAAAAAAAAAAGCTGATAGGACACGGTGGGATTTGAACTATATCTGAAGGCTAGGAAAAACAACAGGATTCTATAGGATAAAAAGAAATCCAGGTGGAGAAAATACAATAGGTAAATAGCATCTCTGTGGTAATGTGATAAACATTCATAATTTGGCTTTCGCCAAGAGTTAGTTACAATCTGAGTATTCTCCCATCAGTTTCGACCTCCTGGCCATGGCCAGACAGACCAAGGACAGTCACCTGACTCAAAGGCAACCAGTCCGTAAGCTGGTGAGCATCCTATGAGGTGGGCTGGGGAGAAGAGAGATCAGTCCATCAGAGGCTCCTTATACGGGGTAAGGAACGGACAAACCCATCAGGTACGGTCTCTTAGAGAGGCTGAGAGATGAGAGAGACAGGTCAAGAGGGAAACAGTGGAGGCAGAGAAAGGCACCAAGAGTAGCGAGTCCCTGCGACGGCGGATTCAAGGCCTGCTGCTGCCATAGGACTGAGATGACTGTGCAGCTAAGTTTCCTGAAGGACCTTCTGTTTCAACTAGGTGGTGATGGTTTTGCCCTGCTTCCTTTGTTTTTACAAGTATTTTTATCTCTGAGATAAGATGGGCAGGTTTTCGGTGGGCAGCCTGAAAGTGCAGCAGCAGGATCACAGCTAATGTTTCTTGAGCTCTTACTTATGTGCCGGGTCGCATGCTGAGTGCTTTCCACGCGTTGTTTCATTTAATTCTCACAACAGCCCTGGGAAGGAGATACCTATCATTATTCCCATTGTACAGATGCAGAAACTGAATTCAGAGATCCGCCTACATGCACAGGCAGGAGGAGGTCTTGATCTGGGTCCCTTTGACTCCTGTAGGCAACGCTTTTCAGTGGAACCTCCTCCTGACTGCCTCTCTTGTTCACTCAACTAGCGTTTATAAGGAAAGCTAAGCCCTAAATAATTGTGTGCAGAAGCAAGTAAAATAGAAGTACGTTTGTTCTCTATTGTTTCAAAAGTCAGAACCAGGGCTTCCCTGGCTGGTGGCGCAGTGGTTAAGAATCCGCCTGCCAATGTAGGGGACACGGGTTCAAGTCCTGATCTGGGAAGATTCCACATGTCACGGAGCAACTAAGCCCGTGCAGTGAGCCTGAGCTCTAGAGCCCACGAGCCACAGCTACTGAGCCCGCGCGCCTAGAGCCCGTGCTCCACAACAAGAGAAGCTACTGCAATGAGAAGCCTGCGTACTGCAACGAAGAGTAGGCCCCGCTCGCCGCAACGAGAGAAAGCCTGCACACAGCAACGAAGCCCTAACACAGCCAAAAATAAACAAACAAAATAAAAAAAATAATAAAAATAAAGAAAAAGTCAGAACCAGATCAGTGGACCAAAAAAATACAAGGTGATAGATTTTGGATCAACCTATGAAACACATTTTAGAAAGTTAAAATAGTCTTGGAAGGGTCTTCTTGCCCTATAAGAGTCCCAGGTCAGATTAGGAGAACTCAGGGTCTGTTATCTATGCCAAGATTCGGTGATTCTTTCACTTTTACTTATTTCAATATATATTTCTAACAGAGAGGAATCGTATTAAAAGCATAACCTATGGGGAGGGGGAAGGGTAAGCTGTGACAAAGTGAGAGAGAGGCATGGACATATATACACTACCAAATGTAAGGTAGATAGCTAGTGGGAAGCAGCCGCATAGCACAGAGAGATCAGCTTGGAGCTTTGTGACCACCTAGAGGGGTGGGATAGGGAGGGTGGGAGGGAGGGAGACGCAAGAGGGAGGAGATATAGGGATATATGTATATGTATAACTGATTCACTTTTTTATAAAGCAGAAACTAACACACCATTGTAAAGCAACTATACTCTAATAAAGATGTAAAAAAAAAAGCATAACCTCAATGAATTTTCACACTAGCAAAGTTCATAATTCCTTAATGTTTAAGATTCTGATCTTCATTCACATTTTGCCACTGTCTTCAAAACTTTTTTTTTTTTAAATCCTGTGCTTGTGTTATTAAATAAATAAATCTGCAATGGTCTTTGGTGGGAGTCACATACGCAAAAGCCTTAAGGAGCACCAGCTGGATATAAAACAGCTGAGCACATTCCTTTTACTCAGCTGGAACTCCTTCTCCAAGGTATGAGCATGCGACCCAAGCTAGACCAGTCAGATTCTTTCACCCTGGAATAGAAATATGATTACAATGACCTATCGATCAAAGATTGTTGGAGCCTATTGTTCTGCCAGTGGTACTCAGATGAAACTGTCCATTGGTTTCTGCTCCCTAGATCCCTGCAGAGCCTGGATTCCTATCTTTTCTGAGGCTTTATTAGTCCAGTTTTCCTTCAATTCTGTTAGCCACAATTGGTTTCTTTTGCTGGAAACCAAAGAATCCAAATTACTGGATACTAGAGGGCTTCCCACGTGCTAGGGACAATACAAAGGGCTCTACACGCATCATTTCATTTAACTTCAGTATAAGCAGATGCCAGAGGTAGCAAGTTATGAACCTATCTTACAGATAAGAAAACTGAGAAATAGAGATATAAAGTCAACTTCCCCAAGCCACACAGGTAGAAAGTGGTGGAGCCATGATTCAAACTAAGGCCTTCCAGACTTCAAAGTTCATATTTCAAACCAATATGATAGGATGCTTTCCTACAGTAACAATCACAATGAAGTATAAAATGTACACAATGCCACGGGGCCCGAGGGAGGGATGCCATTAAATCAGCTTATGAAACAAGAGGAAGAAGGCTGCCAAACTGAAATCCAGAGAACTAAGTGTCACAGGACACGGTGTACCCTCAGACAATTGAGCCGAGTCTTAAAGAATGCATGAGTTCACCAGGTAACGAAGGTTGGAAGGGCATTCCAGGGAGAGGGCATGTTAGCCAGGCCTCTTGCTAGTCTGCAAGAATTTAACAAACCATACGCAGGGAGTTGGGTGGCTTAGCACCAAATCAACCTGTGGCTTGTCCAATTCTGCACAGGTACCTTTGTACTAGAAATTGGGTTCCTCTTGTTTCTGAAGCTCAGGTCCCTGACTATATCCTAGTTCCAGTAAACAGGTCCCTATCTTGTTTCCCGCTACTTTCTGGCGATCCGCCCTGTTGCCTTCTACCTTTCTGCCTAGGCATCCGATTACCGGCTCTCTGAATCCATGATCCCATCTCTCCCTCAAGGGAGCCACTGTAATGACTTTATATTTACAGAGGGTATGAACAGTACGTATGTATGGTCCTCCGGGAGAATGGCTCCCTAGGAGCACCTATCAACACATACCATGAACTGAAAACAAAATCTAGGGCTTCTTAATGAAATGAAACGGACTATGCCAGACATAAAATAAAGACCTTTTGTTTCAGCCCCTTTTTGGCAAAAGGATATTGTTTCCCTTCTGCGTGCTTACCGTGAGTGATCTCACTAAGATTTTGTGAAGTCAAAGCCCACGGTTCAATTTTCAGCCTCTAAACAAACCCAGGCTTTTGGGGGCTAGGCATATGTTTTGGAGACAGACCTCAAGCAGTTCAACAAGTGTAATTTCTTGAGAATCTGCCTTCTTGAGAAGAGGTTTTGTCTCTGCTTTTCGTGTTCCTCCCGTTAGCATTTTCCCCCCCTTTCTTGATGGGACAGGTGTTCACCTAACCGATCATCGGTGATAACAGAACATCAGCCTCAACGATATGACATAACTGGCTTGGAGGAGGGGCAGGCCTGTCAGCGAGATGACAACACACGTGTGTCGAAAAGCAGCAGACTCTGGTTGTCGAAAAGCAGCAGACTCTGGTTGTCCTTTAATGGTCACTGCCATGTAGTGGCCCATGTTTTCCTCCCATGGCATTTATTCATCATGGTCAAAAGTCAACACCACAGGGAATTCCCTGGTGGTCCAGTGGTTAGGACTCTGAACTTTCACTGCCACAGCCTGGGTTCAATCCCTGGTCAGGGAACTAAGATCCCGTGAGCTGCATGGTGTGGCCAAAAAAAAAAAAAAAAAAAAAAAAGGAAAAAAAAAAAAGTCAACACCACAGAGTTGGGGAGATAACTAGGTTAAGTCCAGCCCTAACACTGATCCAGCTGCTCGGCTTCTCCGTGCTTCCCTTTCCTTACCTGCCTCCACAGCAGAGACATGAGAGATATTTTCAACTTAGCTTAGTGGGTGGCATGTATTTCAGCGGTCCATGAGCAGTGGTGATTATTACTATGTTATTATTATCTGCCTACCAGGGGGGCTATAACAAAAGGTGCACACTTAGCTGGGAACCTGCTTAAAAGTAACTACAAGAATGGAAATTCCAGTTACCTTTCCTAAGCTCTTTCTCTCAAGGAAGCAACATGCTACAAAGGTGTCCATTTTGACAGAATGGGAAACCACTCTGAAACGCATACTCTTCTGACCACTTTATCTCCCCAACTGAGCATATTTTCTTTGTTTTCCAGAATCTTTGCTGTGTCTGAGCGATAGCATCAAAGAAGGTGAATTGGGCAAGAATGACTCAATTATTTCGCATTCTGAACAATGCTGACTTGGTGACTGGCGTCCTGCAAGGGCTGCATTCAAACGCCTCGTTCCACGTTGCGTTCAGTTATTGTGGGTAATTTTAGGCACTCACTGCAGCCACCTGCCTAAGTAGATTTCTTTCAGGTCCTAATCCACACCCCGAGCAAGGAGATCTGTATTTATTGCTTGTAATGACCCTGCAACCTCACAGTCCTGCTGTATAATGCACGCTGAAGACAGCGCTATAATTTAAGTGTATTTCATTTTCTCCAAATGACGATGCACAACTTCTGAGAGTCCCATATGTTCCCGTGCACTCTTGGAAGATTCCCCAAGGGAAGAATTATTTGCTTCTACAATGTGCTCCCCTGCCAGGAAAACTCTGCCTCACTTCCGAATTTCCAGGCTTCCCAAGGAGAACTAGAGAGGGCCCTCCAGGTGTGAGCCTGTGGAAACCTGCCCTGGCGCTCCTCTCCCACATTGTGACTCTTTGAGTTCTCCAGGGAACAGCTGGAGGCCCAGGAGGGTAAGGGCCTTGCTGTGACCTGTCTGAACGGGGAGGGAGTCTTCTGCCCCAGGCAATGTGAAGTGTTAGGGTCCCGTGGTGAATTCCAAGTGCTTGCTTCAAACTGCAAAATAGCCGGCTCCCGTCCACCATGAGCAAAGTAGGGACAGATGCTCTGAGAAGGAGACAGGAAGAGGCAGGAGAGGTTAACTTTGCAGGGAGGGGATGGCTGGGACTAGTGAATGATGGAGACAAGTGATGAAATCTTCCACCCAGTGCAAAAGTGAGTGGGTCAGACCCAAGCAGACAGTCTCCGAACTTCCATATTCAGTAGCCATATATCACATTAAGGAATTTTTTACCCATTGAACATGTGGTTGAGGCAGCCTCTCTTAATTATATCATAAAAATAGTTAACATTTATTGAGGGTCTTCGTTACATGTTAACATGCACAATTCTCCAACAACCCTGTGTATTACCACAAGCTCCTATTCCATTTTCTAGGTGAGGAAAGAGGCCCACAGAGGGTGCCAAAGGCCACACAGGTAATACACGGGAGAGTTAGGGTTAGAACCCAAGAGCAATGCTAAAGCATTCGTTCTTAAGGGATGGAGTGAAGTGCATCTGGCCATGTTGAAGACATTTTTCGGATTGTCCTGACCTGGAGAGTGTTCCTGGCATCTCATGGGTAGAGGACAGGGGTGCTGCAAACATCCTACAGCACAGCATGGCTCCCTTCAGTGAAGAATTCCTTGGCCCCAGAATTCCCTGGCAGTCCAGTGGTTAGGACTCTGCACTTCCACTGCAGGGGACACGGGTTCTATCCCTGGTCAGGGAACTAAGATTCCGCATGCTACACAGTGTGGCCAAAAAAAAAAAAAAAAAAAAAGAATTACTTGGCCCCAAATGTCAATAGTACTGCTACTGAGAAAGCGTGCATTAAAGGCCAAGCATTGAACTTCTGTACCCTACGGCCTTTTCACCCATCATAATACTAATGCTTCCCTTCTGCCCTTTCGATGTCACCCTGAGGACAGATTACAGAGAAGACTGAGCAGATTCCCATAAACACTGTCTGATATGTGATTGCGGAGCACACAGAAATATAATCCTGTAAGAAACTGGAATTGGGGGCTTCCCTGGTGGCACAGTGGTTAAGAATCTGCCTGCCAATGCAGGGGACACGGGTTCGAGCCCTGGTCCGGGAAGATCCCACATGCTGTGGAGCAACTAAGCCCGTGCGCCACAACTACTGAGCCTGTGGTCTAGAGCCTGTGAGCCACAACTACTGAGACTGCATGCCACAACTACTGAAGCCCACGTGCCTAGAGCCCATGCTCCACAACAAGAGAAGCCACCACAATGAGAAGCCCGCGCACCGCAACGAAGAGTAGCCCCTGCTCACCACAACTAGAGAAAGCCCGTGTGCAGCAACGAAGACCCAACACAGCTAAATAAAATAAAATAAAATAAAATAAAATAAATAAATTAGAAACTGGAATCAGGATTGAGTTTTGAAGGATTCTGTGTCTTTCTGGAACTCTCATATGAATCAGGATGGTGACTCCTCAAAGTCAAAGGCCCCTTACCAACTGCCTGGAAGTTCAAGAATGGGTTAGGCCAGGAGGTCATGGTCAATATTAAGGCAACTAACAGACTTTTTCCCCAGGTTCTGGGATATCGTTCAGATGGAAGTGTGGTGATGTGCAAAGAGCTCTGGCTAACTCACACATCTGCCTCAGATCCCTCTGCTGGGCCTAAAGTAGGAGAAATCTGTTATTTCTTGGTGCTTTTTAATCACATTCCTCTGGGAAGAGGTGAACTTTCCTGTCCTCTCCTTATTGTAAATCACCTGCTCTTTGACAGCTCTAAAATAACTCACGGCTACCCAGTCACAAACATTTTACCTTTTCTTCATTTATCACTCTTCGCACTTGCATTTTTTAAAAACTGCTTAATACGTTCATTGTAGGAAAAAACATATATAGACAAGCAAAAGTCACTCCCACAATCATTCTACTCAGAGGTAAATTACTGTTAACATTTTACACTTTTCCCTACTCCTATCTTTTACTTCAGTGCCATCCTGTGGTCTGCTTCTTTCCCCTAGAATATACTGGGAACTTCTTTCCCCTAGAATATACTGGGAACTTCTTTCTTTCTGTATCAATAAATCTATTTCTTCACCAGAATCTTTACCTGTTGGGCTGTATTTCATATATTTGTCTTTCTTAAAAAAATCAGGTGGAATGATGTGGACCCACGAGTTGCAGTCATAATGCTTCCTTGAGTTAAAGGCCGAACGTTCCAGAACCAGGCCAAGGGGTGCTTTTAAGACAGAAAAAAGTCTTTCAAAGGCTCTGTGTTTGCAGCAACTTTGACGGAAAGTTAGTAGTCTTTCCCCACATCTCCTACTAGGACTCTCCACACGCGGCGAATTCTCACCCCCAAGCGTCACAGACAGACAATACTTAGGGTACCTCTGAGTGGCCACTTACAGTCTTAGTGCATAGCAAAGGAGATTTGGAAATAGGAGGAAGAAGAGAGGAGAAGAGGAGAGGGAGAACCAGAAAGGAAAAAAAAGCAAGAGGTAGTCGGATGAATAAGAGGGGTAAAAGACCCAAGATCCTGGCGTTTTGTGGAGCTGGGTGGTACCAGCCAGAGCCACCTCGGCTTGCCCCCACCCCCCCCGCCCCCGAGGGGATGGGAGCTTTTCCAATGAGGTCACACGCAGTTCCCCTGCCACCCCTGAGAATTAAATGCCTGTTTGCTCACTATCAAGCTCTTCAAATGCTTACATCTGGGCTGCATTACCACAGAGGCCCATGTGTTTGTGGATGATAATTTACAGCAGCAGATAACAACCCTGGGGCTGGAGGAGTCCCCCAGCAGCCTGGAGGAGTTTGGATTCACAGGGAAACAGAGGATGGGTTAAATGAATTATGGTGCATAAATAAGTTATGGGGCGTCTATACACATATGTGTTACACACATAGCACACATCATTGAGATTTTATAACTAAAGCACAGACAAAGGTTTAATCCTGAAGCTCATAAAGAGAGAACTAAGTGCATTCACCTTAAATGTTTTCTTCCTTCCATGCAGAAGCGGCATGTGTTTCTGAGCTGCTCCCTGCATCCCGGGGGATATGAACTGGGAGAAAAGTCTTTCCCTGCAAATCTGTGGGACCCCAGTGTTTAGCCCAGGAATCAATGAGACAATACAGGTCAAATATCTAACCCAGTGCCTGCCACAGGGTTAATGCTACTTTTCAGTAGAGAGGAAACTTCTGGAGAGCAAAACTGTATGGTATTTTTCTTTTTCATAAACGCTGCAATTAAAAAAATGACATTTTTTTATATTTGTATAATATTCTGCCAAGTTATTTTGTATCCCCTGATCCCTTTTTAATTCACAACCAACTTGCCCAAGATCCCATTTACCGTCTCCAGCGCACGGTATCAGAATCTGGGCCAGGAATGCGGAGGTTTTGGGGGTTGGAGGGGTGACTGTTTAAAAATTTTCCTACAGTGATTCAGATATGCAACCCCTCTCCTTCTGGGGGAGCTCTGAAATGCAATGTCCCTTTTCATCTGATGTCTTTTATTACAGCGATCAATTGTTCTCTGTAAAAATGCCATCACTTCCTGAAACCATCTTCATCGTTGGCATTTGGATATTTTAATCTTTATTTATTTATTTATTTAGGCCTTGCCTCGTGGCTTGCGAGATCTCAGTTTGCCAACCAGGGATTGAACCCCGGGCCCCCGGCAGTGAAAGCACTGAGTCTTAACCACTGGACCGCCAGGGAATTCCCCTACATTTGGATATTTTTAATTGTTAGCAGTGAAAATAAGAGTGAGGTACATCCACATCATGCATTACTTCTGTGGGGAATCCTTCTTCCTTGTGTGCTAACTACTCAGCACCTACACACCTTGGTGTCCACGAGTGAGCGACTCCGAGTTCCAGGGCATGCAGCAGTACTTGCTGATGGGAAAGGCAATGACCCCGATATCAAAAGAGACCATGTGTCTTTCTAGAGGCTTCTGTGCTGACCCCGTGTCCAAATACAATCAAATGCTCTTTGGTTCTAGTCTTCAATGACTCGAAAGTGTTGTCACTCCAGGCAACCTGGGGGTGGTGGGGTGGTGGTGGTGATGTCTGCTATGATGTAAGTATGAGCGGCAGTCCTGTTTTCTTAAAAGAGGAGGCTGGAGAACCTCTGAGAGGCCACCAACGTCACTGCGGTGGCTACAGTCCCATTTGTGAGACCTCCAACCCACTCGCTGACCTCTGTCAGTTCGCTTAATTCCCTGGTGTGTGCTTTTGCTCTATCATTTCCTTAATTAAACTGGAGTAACAACAAGTCCTTAATTGGAATAATAACAAAGACTATTAAGGCCCCACGGTACTGTTGGGAAGAAGAATTAAGTGAATAATTAAAAACTTGATAAGGGCTTTTAAACATGCAAGTAGTTCAGGGAAAGTAAAGCTAAGTGATTACGGGACACTCGTGAGATAAGTGCTGAAACTCACAAACAGGTAGCAGGCAACTCCGGAATCCCAGGAACTCGCTTTGGAATGACAGGGCCGCCTTATGAGTGACTGTACAGAAGGAAAGACACAGCTTTCTCCCCTGGCATTTTGAGACCAAAAATAGACCAGATAGTAGTGGTCAAAGAACTAGAACACAAACCTGGTGACTAAATAAATGGCACTGAGTAGTTAGGCTACAGAAGCACTACCTATGTGTCCAAAGATGAAAGTGTAAGGATGTTAACTGCAAGCTACATCTTAATAAAGTCACTGGAAACAGCCTCAACACTTAACAGCAGCGTGGATAGCTAAATTATGAAAGTGAAAAGAAATAAGGTGATTTTCATATACCCAAGGAAAGATCTCCAGGTTAAAAAAAAAAAAAATAAGTCACCAAACAACTCATCAGCCTTATTTTTCTCTAAGAAGGGGAGTGAACTGGGGATACGGTGAGGAAGCAGCCTGATGGAGAGTAATTCTTCCTTTTCACTCTATACTTTCGTAAAGTTTGAAATGTTTACAGCGATAATATAATTCTTTGTGAAAAAAGATTGATTTATGTTGAGCCATTTTCCCTACATAATACGAGATGAAAGCTTCTCTATTCTCTGACCCCTGCTTAACTACTAATATACATTTTTTGTTATTGCTGCTGGTCTGTGTTTGTCTTTTTCTCCATTTCCATGGACACAAGCACTCATATCACACTCTTTCCAGGAAACTTCTATGTTTTTCTGTAGGATTTCTGTGTACTTTTCCATACATGCTACACTCCTGGACAAATCACCATTATGCTACCTCCTTCCTGGGTTTTAAAAATGTGACTTCTGGTGGTAAGAAAAAAATTCTAAACAAGATTTCAGAGCAAAAAGCAAAAAAACAAATTGGGGGCTGTCAGCGCTTTATTTACTTCATAAGAAGCAGCCTCTATCCACAATGACCATCAATTCATGTTAAACAGAGACTTAAAAAGAAAAGGCCAATCAGGACATCTTATCACACTTTTGGATTTCAAGGAGCATAAAGAAGTAAAAAAAAAAAAGAAACAAGGGTTTGTGGAAATTGACATGATTTTGTCAGGTAAACATACTATAACCAAACCCCACCCCGCCCCAAAGAAAGACAAAAAGCCTCCACCGTCATGTCATAAAACAAAGCATAGTTCAACATCCAAAAAGTAACATAAGCTCAGAATTTAGGGTCCATTCTTTAGGTTAATCCAGCTTTATGAAAACATATTTAGATGTATGGGAAATCTCCTACCTTAGCTTATTTTATCATATTTGGCTTCAGACCAGGAAGACAAAATTTATCATGAAAATATATCAAATTCAGGATAGTGGGGAGAGGGGCTACTACATAGGAAGGGGCTTTCAGCAAAATTGGTGCCTTTTTATTTCTTAAGCTAGGTAAGGAACATGGGCGTTACTCTTTATAACATTTTATTATCTGACAGTGTGAATAATTAATGTGAAAAAATATTTCCATCATCGGCTGGCTTTAAGAAATCACTGATTTAGTTGAATATATCCATTGCAGGAGGAAATAACTGAGGCCAATATGTATGGTTAAGTGACTTGCCCAAGCAGAGCTCAGAGGACAAATCAAGTATTCCTTCCCAGCAGTCTCTTCAGGAAAGCAGAATTCAGATTTCTGTACTGTTAATTC